CTTTTTTTTCAATGATCAACTATTGTCATAGCCAGAATGTATAAAATGTTATTCTTTAATATCGAATATAGAAAAATCCTTGAATATAGAATATAGATCTTCTGATTAACAACGATGATATGAACTGTTTATTTTTTTAATTTACATATTTGAACTTTGTATTGTGTTATTTCCGTTCGTAAGATAAAAAAATTTACAGAGAAAAAAATTTATAATCTTCTTATGAGATATAAATCCTAGCTACCAATTGAGAATAATTAGAATTCAATCAGTAACAAGTTTAACAATTCTCAATCATCGAGAAAATGAAAATGAGCTGAGTTTATCTCATCAACTTGCGTAAATAGAGCCGCGAGCGTCTCGCTGCAATTCTATGCAAACTTCATTGCGCGTAAAGTTGATGCGAGCCGCATCTCTTGATTATCTTTTTATCTTATTAATCTCATTTTACATTCTTTACTCTTGTAAAATTGCAACAGACCTGTTTTCTGATAATAAGAATTAAGTTCTTTAACTAAAATGAAAGATTGTTTACAAATGATATTACAGCATTCTAATGAAACATCCATCGATCCATTTTCTAGAGTATATGTCTAGAGTGTATGATGCGTTTAATTTGCAATGTCTCAATGCGTTTATTTGCAAAAGAATTTTTTGGCATCCTTTCTTAGCCCGTTTGATCTATTGCTATTTATTTTTCTGTAGAAATTAAGAAATTTTGAGTTCTAATAAATTTCGAATCTAATACAGATGTTAAATAATTTATTTTGAAAACAAACTAGGCGGATTAATAACTTTTATATTAATTATTTTATGTTAATATATGTTTGTGTTAAATTATATTAAATTGTTGTTTGACAGTTATGAGAAATTATAGCAGATTGAAAATCATAATTTGAAGATATAATATATGGAAAAGATAATTTTACTGAATCATATAAAAATTTGGCTATATTCAGATCTGAAAATAAGTTTATAAAATAAATTATATAGACATCAATAATTATGTTATTTGTAGTAATAATAATAAGATATTATTAATAATAAGATATTAATTATTAATAATAAGATATTAATATTTAATATATAATAGTAATAATATCTAGTATATAGTACTAATATATAGTACTAATATATAATAAGATATTCAAATTTAGAAATATTAAAAATTTTTGCGATATTGTCATGTTTAAACTACATAATAATTTTGGTAGTATAATAAAATTATTTTCAAATCTATATTCAACAAATTTTGAAATGTTTCAACAAAATCAGTCTTTTCATATAGTTCATGTATTACGCAAAATTGATCTCTCTTCCGACATAAAACCGTCATGCTATCGTGACGTCCAGTATTTATAATACATAATGAAATGTAATTAGGTAATAACGCGCGATTTGGTAATGGCGTAAATTCGTGTCTGACATTAAATAAAAACCCATCCATATAATCTGTCCTCGATATAATCTTCCTCGATATAATTATCGTTATGTAGTCCCTTCTCCTTTCCATCGCTTGTATTTCGCCCAGATCTCTCGCGCAAGAATCCTTTGACTTTATCCCGTTCGCCATTATGAAATGAGTCATCTATTAACAGAATGAAAAGTTAAAGACTGTCTTTATACCGAAGGCGTGATTTTATTTTACTTACTTAATAGTAATTATAACATCTGTTCTGATACACTTATATAAATGTGTCTTGTAATTTTTAAATTAATTTGATAGAATATAAGCTATAATTTAATTCGTATAATATCATATGTTTAATATCAATGTATACGTAGTTCTCTCAAATTTATATTTAAAATAGAATTTATATTTAAAATAGAATTATTTAGACATAACATACTAATTACACAAAAAGAATGATTTTACTAATCAAAAAATTTGAGATATATATATATATATTTAATAAATTAATTGTATTGGGTTAGCGATATTATTATATAGATTGCTTAAACAGGAAAATACTTTAAAAAATTTTTAGCAAATTTTTTTATAGCAATTAACTTACATGTCTTATATTTTAATTTAAGCGCAACAAAATTATTTTTATATCTATTTATATATCTGACCAAAATTTTAGATACTTCAACAAAATTATTTTATTTATATAGCCTTGTAAATAAAGTATAAATTAATAAAAAGTTTTAAAAATTCTCATGAATTTATTAATTTAGATTATTATTGTTTTTGCAATAAATTT